AAGGGAGTAGTCAGTTAATTGACTTCTTCTAGGAGACTTAGGAGTGCTTTTTGGTTAAATGAAGCTTTTATCTTGGAATGTTATAGGGTTAGTTAGAACTGGTAAATGTAGGAAAATCAAGCAGGTGCTTAAGGAGAGGAAGATAGATATGGCTCTCTTGCAAGAGACCAAAAAAGAGGTGGTTAATTCAGAGCTGGTGCAATCTCTTTGGGCTGGGGGAAAAATGGAGTTTGTGTCAGTTGATTCAATAGGGTCTGCTGGTGGGCTTCTCTGTATCTGGAACCCTGAAGTTTTTCAGCTCAAGAACTGCTGTTGCAATTGCAATTTTATTCTCCTGGTAGGTTCGGTCTTTTTTTCTTTTAATTGTGTAATTGTTAATGTTTATGGGCCAAATGATCCTGTAGGAAGGAAAAGGGTGTGGGATATTCTTGTGAATCTTAAATCACAATTCTTGGATCCATGGTGCTTGGGGGGTGATTTTAATGAGATTAAAAGCAATTTCTGAAAGAAAAGGGTGTTCTAGGAGGGATAAGGGGATGAGGGAGTTCAATGAAATGATAGAACAATTAGAGGTCTTTGATCCACCTATGTGTGGAAGGAAGTTTACTTGGTGTCAGTCACAAGAGGGTGATAGATGGAGCAGGCTTGACAGATTCTTATTAAATCCAGCATGGGTGCAGACATTCGATTTCAGGCTTTAGGGTTTACCTAGACTGATCTCTGACCATTGCCCTATTGTTTTGATGGAAGATGAGAGGGATTGGGGGCCTAAACCATTCAGGTTTATAAGTGCTTGGATTATGCATCCAAAATTCTTGTCATTTGTGGAACAAACATGGGCTGCTCTAAATGTGGTGGGTTGGGCTGGATTCAGATGTTTAGTCAAATACAAAGGGTTAAAATCAGCTTTAAAGAGGTGGAATAATGAGGTGTTTGGAAATGTGGAGAACAAGCTTAAAGCTACAGAGAACGAAGTTCATGCACTTGATTTAGTGGCTGAAGTAAGGGCTTTGTCGGTGGATGAAGTAGCTAGGAAAAGAGAACTGAAAGGTGATGCTTGGAAATTAAGTACAATGCTGGAGAGAATGTGGTTTCAAAAATCTAGACTTAAATGGGCATTATTGGGTGACAGAAAAACCTCCTTTTCCCATGCTATGGCCAGGTGTAGAAGTAATAGAAATGCCTTATGCTCTATTTTGGTGGGTGGAAATACTGTAGAAGAGCCAATAGTTATTAAGGATGAGGTCTTGAAACACTTTACCAACATGTTCGAGGAGCCTTGGAGGGTTAGGCCAACCTTAGATGGCCCCTTTAGGTCAATTGGGGAAGGCCGTGATTCTGGATTTTTGGAAGCAGAATTTTCTGAGGAGGAAATCTTTAATGCTATTAAATCTTGTGGGGGAAACAAGGCCCCCGGGCCAGATGGATTTAATATGGGTTTTTTTCAGAAATGCTGGCACATTGTGAAGGAGGAGGTCTTGCAAGTTATGTGGGAATTTCATCAAAATGCCAAGTTGGTCAGAGGGTTAAATGGTTCCTTCATAGCTTTAATCCCAAAAAATGAGAACCCAGCTAGCCTTAATGAATATAGGCCCGTCAGCTTAGTGGGCTCCGTATACAAGATATTGGCCAAGGTACTTTCAAATAGGTTGAAACAAGTGCTACCTAGGATCATAAGTGAATCTCAATCATCATTTTTGAGGGGCAGAAATATTTTAGATGGCATACTTATTGCTAACGAGATAATAGATGGGTGGAAGAAGACTAGAGGAAGTGGAGTTGTGCTTAAACTTGATTTCCATAAAGCCTATGATTCGGTCAATTGGGAATTTTTGTATTCTATGTTATCTAAATTTGGTTTTGGCCCTAAGTGGGTAAGTTGGATGAAGGAATGTGTTGCTTCTGTGAGAACTTCAGTGTTGGTTAATGGGTCTCCAACTCCCGAATTTTGCCCTCAGAGGGGACTTCGACAGGGAGACCCACTGTCACCTTTCCTATTCATCATTGTGGCTGAAGCACTTAATATCTTGTTGGGTAGAGCTAAAAATTTGGGCCTGATTAGAGGGGCGTCTGTTGGGCCCAATGGTCTTCGGATTACTCATCTTCAATTTGTGGATGATACCATTTTGTTCTGTGAAGCAGATTGGGGGGAAATGGTCAATATAAAATGACTTCTCAGGTGCTTTGAAGTCTTGTCAGGACTTAGAATTAATTTTAACAAAAGTGTGGTCTGTCGGGTGGGGATTCCAGATGAGCTGGGTCAAGATTTTGCAAGTAGGTTGAATTGTAAATTCCAGAAATTGCCCATCAAATACTTGGGCTGCCATTAGGGGCCAGCCCAAGAAGTAGCAGAACTTGGCGGCCAACGATTGATAAGTGTAAACAAAGGCTTGCTTCTTGGAAGAGGAGATATCTATCATTTGCAGGTCGGCTAACTTTGATTAAGTCTATCCTTGCCAACTTACCAATTTTTTATCTCTCAATTTTTAAGATGCCGGAGATGGTAGCAAAAAAGATGGAAAGCATTCAGTCTGGTTTTCTTTGGGGTGGCTCAGATTTGAGGAGGAAAGTGCACTTGGTGAAATGGGAGGATGTTTCTAAAAATAAAAACATAGGATGGTTGGGTGTTAAGAGAATTAGAATTATGAATGTATGCCTTTTACTGAAGTGGTGGTGGAGGTTTGGTACTGAAGAGAACTCCCTTTGGAAAAATGTTATATGTGGTAAGTATAGGGAGTTAGGTGGGGCATGGTTTCCTTCTAGTGAGAGGGCTAGAACTTTCTCCAAGATATGGGCTGACATTATTTATACTGTGGAGTCTAGGGCAGAGCTTATGTAATTTTTTAAGAGCAATGCTGTGGTCAAGATTGGAGATGGCAGAAGAATTAGATTTTGGTCTGACTGTTGGGCAGAGGGCATTTGTCTTAGAGACGAATTTCCTAGGCTATACTCCTTATCAGTTGACAAGCAAGGGTCTGTATTCATGTTTCACAGCAATAGAGATGTATATGGGAATTGGGTGTTGAATTTTAGGAGGCCCCTCTTTGTCTGGGAGGAAGAAGAATTGAGTAGATTGCTACAGCATCTAAGCAGCCCCCCTTTGCTCAGAGCTAATGTTGTTGACTGTCTGACTTGGAATGCTACGTCATCTGGCGGCTTTAGTGTATCATCTGTCTATCAGTGGTTTGAATTGGGCTTTGGGTCTAATAGTTTGATCTCTACTTGGTTGTGGAAGGCCCCTGCTCCACCAAGAGCACTATTCTTTGGTTGGTTGGTTTGGAGGGGAAGAATCAAATCTGCTAGTTATTTGCATAGGATTGGCATCCTTAATGCCAATGTTGATGTCTGCTGTGTGTTCTGCAAAGAAGGGGAGGAAACTATTAATCATGTGTTACTTCACTGCCCTTATGTGTGGATGATTTGGTCTTATTTTGTCAAAAGGTGGGGGATGCAGTGGGTTTCACCTGGTTCGGTTCAGAGTGCTCTTCAATGGTGGTATGGTTGTAGTATGAGGCAAATTGAAAAGAAGCTGTGGAGTGTAATACCATATGCTATTTTCTGGTCAATATGGAAACAGGGGAACGACTCTGTGTTCAATGGGGTGGAACCTAATTTCGGTGCTCTGTGTGAAACCATTGAGGTACGAATTGCTCTGTGGGTTAAATCCTATGTCCCAGATTTGAAATACACTATCCATGATCTGGTGCATAATCTGCAGCAGATTAAAAAGTGCTTGCCTTAGGAGTTTAGGCAGCAGATTGCTCTGGTAGCTTATAGAGTTGGAAGGTAATATAGGATTGGAATTATGGTGTCTTTTGGTAGCTCAACAGAGTTGATGTCTGTTGTTCTGGTCTTGATGATTAGCCCTGGGGTGTTCTGGTTGCATGATGATGAGGTGCTCTGGCTGGTGGGTTCTATCTCCTTATTGTCATGTTTGGACTGGGTCAGTTTGGGGGATGCTAGATATCCTGGTTGCTCGGGTCTGCTGGGTGGAGGGGTTGCCATGCTGTGTTGAAAGGCATGCTGAGTTACATCAGGTACGCTGGTTAGTGTTGCATCAGAAATGGAAGTTAAGCTACAACTGGTGTGATGAGGTGCCTCAGATGCATCACAATTGGAATGCTGTAACTGTGCTGGTTGAGATTGATTCAAATATCATTTGGGTTAGTCAGTACATCTGGACCTGCTGTTGGTAGGTCTTGGTGCAACTCAGAGTCTTGGAGGCTGCTCTGTTGGTTAGCATGCTGTTATGGTAATGCTATGATCAGGTGCCTCAGATGTTTTTTTTTTTTGCTGCTGTGTTGGATTAAACAAAAATGGGGCTTGGATTGATTGAAAGGCTGCTGGTTACTGGTTTTAATTTCTTTGGTTTTCTTGTTTTACTTTGTGTGTTGGTTTCTCTCCAACTAGGAGGTTGGAGCTTCTTATAGCTCCTAGCTCCTCTTTATTGATGTAAAATGTTTTTTTCATCAATAAAGTTTTTTTGCCGATCAAAAAAAAAAAAAGGAGATTAATGGGTGTGCTTAAGTTTGTACCGTAGGAGATCTAGGAGTTAAGTAGTTTCACAATGAAAGTTCTCTCATGGAATGTTAGAGGCTTGGGTAATCCTGAGAAAATGAGTTTCAGAAATTTTATAAAGGAAAAAAGGGAGGATATGGTTTTGATTCAAGAAACGAAGTAGTCCAGTTTTGATTAGAATTTTGTTAGATCTCTCTGGCCAGAAGGTGATCTGGGATATATGGGGGTTGATGTAGAAGGAAGTGTAGGGGGTTTGTTGTGCTTGTGGAAGCTTGATGTTTTTCAGATTAAGGATTGTTGTAGCTACATGAGTATCAGGTTTGGTTTACCATAGGCTTGATTGTGTCATTGGCAATGTCTATGCCCCTAATGATAGTAGAGATAGAAGTCATCTTTGGGTGGTCCTTGCTATTTTAAAAGCATCCTTTCCAAAACCTTGGTGTTTAGGGGGGGATTTCAATGAAATAAAAAATATAGGGAAAATGAAAGGTTGTGTGAGAAGTGATAGGGGGATGCAGGAGTTCAATGAGTTTTTGAATAATCTTGAATTAGTTGATGTTCCTATGTTTGGAAGGAAATATACATGGACTAGTTCGCAGTCAGGAGTATGTTGGAGTAGAATTCATAGATTTCTATTAAATCCGGAGTGGCTTGAATGGTTTAGCTTTAAGTTATGGGACCTTCCTAGAACTTTAACTGATCATTGCCCAATCTTATTGAAGTAGGATAAGAGGGATTGGGGTCCAAAGCCATTCAAAGTTTTAAATGCTTGGGTGGTACATCCCAACTTTATTAAAGAAGTTAAACAAGTTTGGGATAGTTCACAAGTGGTGGGGTGGGCTGGCTTTAGAATAATGGTCAAACTGAGATTACTTAAACATGCATTGAGGATTTGGAATGTGGAGGTATTTGGTCATGTAGAGTCCAAGCTCAAAGTATCTAAAGCAGAGTTACATTCTTGGGATTTAACTACTGAAGGAAGAGATCTACTAGAAGCTAAAGTTCAAAAAAGAATTGAAGTCAGAGATGAAGTATGGAAGCTTTAAAAAAAAGGATATAGTGGATCTGGTTGCAAAAATCGAGGTTGAATTAGGCCTTAAAAGGGGATAAAAACACCAGGTACTTTCACATCTAGAAGGCAAAGTAGGAACCTCATTAATTCAATAAAGATTAATGGTATTCTATATAAGGAACCTGTGGAGATGAAAAAGGCTATGTGGGCTCACTTTAAAGAGTTGTTCACAAAAGGTTGGAAAATTAGACCAGGACTAGGGGGTGAGTTTACATGCATTGATCAATGTCAGCTACAAAATTGTTTGGTGAAGGATTTTTTAGAAGCAAAGGTTTGGGTTACAATCAAGGAATGTGATGGAAATAAAGCTCCAGGTCCATATGTGTTTAACTTGACTTGCATTCAAAAGGGCTGGAAGTTCATGAAGGGTGATATTATGGAATTCATGAAAGAGTTCCATGATAATGGTGTTTTGGGTAATGGAATTAATTGCTCTTTTCTGACCCTAGTTCCCAAAGTTGATTGTCCTGAATCAATTAAAGATTTTAGACCTATCAGTCTTATTAGTTTCTTCTATAAAGTGTTGTCCAAAGTGCTGGCCCGCATAATTAAACTAGTAGTGCCAAGAATTATTGATAGAGTTCAATCAGCTTTCCTAAGTGGGAGGAATATTTTGGATGGAGTTCTTATAGCAAATGAGGTTGTGAACTACTGGAAGAAAACTAATAGGAATGGGCTAATCCTTAAGCTTGATTTTGAAAACTCTTATGACACTGTAAACTGGAACTTTCTCATTCAAATGTTGGAGAATTTTGGATTTGGTACTACTTGGACCAAGTGAATGAAGGGCTGTATTTCGTCTGCAAGAGTTTCAGTTCTTCTCAATGGGTTACCATCACTTGAGTTCTGCCCTCAAAAAGGTTTATGGCAAGGTGATCCATTATCTCCATTCTTGTTTAATATTGTCGGGGAGGGACTGAATATACTCATATCAACAACTAAAGGCATATCAGTTGGTGTTAATGGTTTGAATATATCTCATTTTCAATTTGCTGATGACACAGTGATTTTCTGTGAGACTGACTGGTCTGAAATTATGGCTATCAAAAGAATCCTTAGGTGTTTTGAAGTAATCTCAGGTCTAAGGATTAATTTCTATGAAAGTGTTGTGTGTGGAGTGGGAGTGGAAGATGTGGTGGTTGATGAGTTTGTTGCAAAATTGAATTGTTTAAGTCAAAAGTTACCATTGAAGTATCTAGGGCTACCATTAGGGGCCAGTCCTAGTAGAAGATTGACTCGGAGACCAGTTATGGAGAAATTCAAGAAGAAGTTTTCTGGGTGGAAGAAAAGAGTTTTGTCATTTGCTGGTAGAGTTACACTCATAAAGTCTATGTTGTCTGCTTTACCTGTATATTACATGTCTCTTTTTAAAATGCCAGAGGGTGTTGCAAAAGAGATTGATAGGATTCAATCATCATTTTTATGGGGTGATTTAGAGCATAATAAGAAGCTCCACTTAGTTAGTTGGTCAGAGGTATGTATGAGTATGAAACAAGGAGGTTTGGGGATAAAACAATATCAGGTTAGCCAATGACAGTTTGCTATTGAAGTGGTGGTGGAGGTATGGCCAGAAGGATGATGCTTTGTGGAATATGGTTATTTGTGAGAAGTATGGCTCTATAAGAAGATGGTACCCTGTTCTAGCTGCTAATGGTTCCACATCTAAGATATGGAAAGACATATTATCAGTGGCTCTAAGGAATGGTAGGCTTTTTCATTTCTACAAGGATAATGTGGAAATTTTAATAGGGAACAGAGAAAGAGTTAGTTTGTTGAGAGATCCTTGGTTGTGATCAACAAATCTATTAAGCCAATTTCCAAAAATTTTCCAATTGGTTGAAGATAAAGAGCTTTCCTTGAGTTTGCAAATACCTAGAAGATCTAATCAATTTGGGTGGGTCTTTAAGTTTAGAAGAGCACTTCGGCCTTGGGAAGAAGATGAGTTGGCTAGATTAATCACTCTTTTCGGGGCCTGGCCCTGTTTTAAGGAGTGATTCAGTTGATTATTTGGTTTGGAAGTCTACACAGTCTAGTGTCTTCAAGGTCAATATTGTTTATGCATGGGGTTTGGTTAATGATGGCCCGATTCAGAGATCAGATGAACTAATATGGAATAATTTCTCACCACCAAAAGCTAAATTTTTCTCTTGGTTAGCTTGGAGAGGAAGACTGAAAACAAAAGAACTGCTACATGGGTTTGGAATTTTGGAGGGCGAGGATGTTCTGAATTGCATTTTCTGTCATGAGGTAAGAGAATCAATTGACCATATTTTGCTTCATTGTCCTTTTGTTTGGCAAATATGGTTTGCTATTGCTTTATGATGGGGTTTTCAATGGGCTATGCCCAGTTCCATTGAAGGTCTATTACTTTGGTGGTTGGATTGGATGTTTAAAAAGAAAGTTAACCAGGTTTGAAGGGCTTTACCTGCAACAATTTTGTGGTCTGTGTGGAGGTATAGGAATGAATGCATTTTCAATACAGTTCAACCCAATTTTCATGATCTGTGTGAGTGTATTAAGGTGAGAGTGGCAATATGGCTGAGATCTCATATCAATGGTGCCTCATTTTCAGTAATGATGTTGTTTTCAAGTTTCAAAAAGTCATGAGTTGTATTGGGTCTTCATGAGTTGAATGTGGTATAGTGGAGGTGTTTAGCAGTATTGTTGTCTGTAGGGGTGTAGGAGTATTGGGCTGCTGCTGGTTTTTGTTTGTTGGTTGCTATTGATTTTGCTACCGGTGGTAGTGTTCTGTTTTGCTACTGCTGGTGTGTTACTTGTAGGTTGCTTTTGGGTTGAAGTGTTGGTTTTGCAGATTAGGAGCTCTGCTTTTCTTAAGATGTTGTTGCTAATGCTAAGTTGTTGTTGAGCTACTGATGTTGATGTTGAGTTATTGTTGCTGTTGTTTGCTGGGTGGAGTTCATAGTTGCAAGGTGTCACGACCCAAACCCGCCCCCAAAAGTTTGGCGTCGTAACCGGCCAGTAATCCTTAGATTATCAAAGGCCTTCCTGTATAATCAAAATTAATAAGGGTTAGTGGAACCAATAAACACAATACCAAGAGTCCAATGAGCTGGGTAACTATATGAACAAACATAAACGTTAATTTACCCACATAACGTTACATAACTTATAACATGGTATTTTATACAAAACATATCATCACCAAAAGCTTGACGATGGCCTTCCAGGCCTAGCTCCAACTTGGAGGCACACAAATCAACTTGGTAGGCTTCAAAATGGTGGCTCCGCTAAAGACTCCTAGACTTGCCCTCCAGAATGCTCACCTATACATTTACATGTAAAAGTAGTGAGCTAAAACCCAGTGAATAACATTAACGTAAAGGGGTTGGTGAACGAATTCCAAATATATCATATCCGTAAAACAAATTATGACACAATTATTCATATCAGTCTCATATCAAAACATAACATAACGGTACATCTCACAAAACATATCACATATCGTCTTTCGGCTAGAGTAATTGGTTCCGGATATCGATTAAACACATATCACCATAATGAAGTGGCTAACGAGATCTCGTATCACATATATGTCATGGACTCGCATTTACATGTCGTACCCCATGACTTGGGACTATCTGTGGATGCCATAATAGATTCGCAATTAGGACATTCGTTCACGTATCAAAATAACATGTCAGAGACCATAGCTTATTGATAACAGTTAAAAACATAATTCATATCAACATATCGTTACGAAAATGTTACTCATAGTGGGCTTTCAAAACCGGTTGCACAATCTTCAAGTCTTGACCTACAAACACAAACATTCATAGCACAATTTCTCAAAACACATTGGAGTCATACAGTTGAACCTTATTCAGTTATTCGTTACTTGCCCGTTCAATTACTTCTATTCGTCTTTTACTTTATTTCATGCCCATGAGATGCCAATGGATGTAAATGACATGTGAAAATCATGTAAATGAAGGCCTGAAAGTCAGAAAAAATGAAAGAAAACAAAATTGGAAAATCTGCCCGGTTTTGGCCGCACATGCAGTGGCCTGGCTTCTCGTGCGGTTGGCAGCACGAGTGGTGGTGAAGCAGTGTCCAACTTTGAGCAAAAGAGGCCCGGTCACTCGTACGGTGGCCCAAGCCGCTGGAGCGGTCTGGGTGTAAAACCAGTCTGAAAATTTGGTAAACAATGGACCTTCTCCCTTTTCGCAATCTCAACTCTTTTGTATACAAAATAAGGCTCAAAACACTTCAAAACATATGACTTACACATTTCCAACTTCAAATAAAGATCATGGCTTCTGTGGGAGCCGAATACATGGAAAAATCAGAAGGTGCGTACCATTGGAAGACTGATATTAATCGGCTGTATCCTACGAGAGTGGGGAGCCGAATATAATATATGCGCTGAATAAATGTAAGTCCTTAGGGCCGAATAAAAGAAAGGACAATGATTAAAAAGTAGGTCCTGGCCCTGAGGATCAAAAAGAACAGGTATAAATATAGGAAAAACGGTTATAGAAAGGTATGTAAGAATCACTTCACTAAATTTGGTAAACAAGCTATCCTGAGTGTCTGAACTAACTTGTCCGTCGGAGTGCTAATTTTGGCACCCCCGACCGGAGTGTTTGTATCTTTTCAGGTGACTAGCTGAGGATCAGTAGCGTCTCCCAGGATTTGAAGAGTATTTCCAAACCACTTCTCCACAATTGGCGCCGTCTGTAGGAATACTCAAATACATCCATGGCAGACGTGACTGAAGATCCTCCAGTAGCCATTGACGAGACCACACAGGGAGATGACCTCACTCCAGCAAATATGCTCGGAAAAGAAACCATCGCTGCATGATGCACCTTAAACTTCGACTCACCAACGACCTCAGTGCAAGAGACAATGCAAGCGGTCATGGAACAAGCAAAGCAGAACGAACAAAGGCTGGAGCACATGATCGCTAAAAATGAACGTCTCCGTCAAGATTTGGCCCTTGAAGTCGCAAAATTGAGAGAAGCCATGCGCCAAGAGACCAAACGACCTCTGAGGGCCGGTGGACAACAACCCCGAGCCCGACCAAAGGATACCGATAGCGACTCCAACTCATTACCCATGGAGCTCAACAAGAAGGGACGATCCGAAACTTCCAGCTTCTCCGAAAAGAGTCTACATACAAGGAACAAGCGCAGGAGGAGCAGTTCAGACGAAGAGGACCAGCACGATCCTTTTGTCCGACAGATTGCAAGGGTGACCCTGCCCAAGAAGTTCAAAGCTCCGTCATTCACTCTTTACGATGGAAAATCAGACCCCATTGATCATTTCCGTCACTACAAGCAGGCCATGACATTGCACGCAGACAACGAAGCCCTCATGTGCCGAATATTCCCCAGCAGCCTGGGGCCATTAGCTGTCAGGTGGTATTACAAGCTGGAGCCGACCTCGATCAAAAGCTTCCATCAATTATAGAAATCCTTCAAGGCCAGGTTCATCACCAACGAGGCACAGCCGAAACAGGCCGACTCTCTGTGGGCTATGCAGATTCAGTCAGGAGAAATGCTCAGAGCATATTTGGTCCGCTATTAGGAGTGCTTCAACCTCATCGACGACTCTTGCAACGACTCCATGGCCATCACCGCCTTCAAAATGGGACCACATCCTGACAGTCCTCTTCGCAGTTCCCTGACCAGAAGACCCCCCAAAACAGCCTGGGCATTGATGAAGAAAGTTGAAGAGTATTGCAAAGTGGAAGATGATGCTTTAAGAATAAAAGCCGGCCAAATGTCCAACAGAACGGTCCCTCTTGAAATTGCTCAA